TCTTCATCTTCTTCTGCTTGTATTTTTTCTTTTTTTTTTTTTTCTTCTTCTTCCTATTATAATTTTTATTATTATTATTATTATTATTATTATTATTATTATTATTATTACTATTATTCTGATATTTTTCTTCTTCCTTCCTCTTCCTTTTAACCTGTCTTCCTTACTCAGACGTTTTGTTATGTTATCACAGTCGACGACACTGCACATTGTGAATTTCCATGCGTGCTCAGTCCTGCCACGTCCATGTTGCAGCCATTCCAGTTTGTCTCTGCTCCTGGTTTCTTAAAAGAATGGTCTGGTAACTGAAGACTAACAGATGTATTATGAAAAACGTATTCTCTGCTGGGACCGAGTATTCGCCTTAAGCGTGTTCGCGTTACGATGTTTTGCTGTATAATGGTATATTTGAAATATATTACTTTAAATACGGTAAAAAAGAAATACTGACATTGTAAAATAATGGACATCAAGGAAGATTGGTTAGTAAACAGCATCCTGTCTCGCAAACTGAAATATGACCTATCAAGCGCCATGGCTGATCGAAAAGAATTATAGCAGAAGGCGGGGTAAAAGGAAAGAAAGGCAGGGGTCGACCAGCAGAAATATGGGTACAGAGTGACTTCTTTGGTAGGGAAATGTATTAGGCGGGTAGAACTGGTGAGATAAGTTTCTTTTAGCCACACTGGGATCAGAGCGACCTTTTGCAAAGCACCTGCTACATGACTGACTGTTATTTGTGTGTGTGTGTGTGTTATTGGGTGGATGGGGAGAGAGAGAAAGAGCTTATAGGTAAGGTAACCATCTGTCCCATTTTCACCGAGAATGTCCCGTTTTTTAGGTCTGTCTTGGCTGTCCCATCAGTTAACACCCCCCCCCCCTTTTTTTTTCAAAAAACACAAATGTCGCGTTTTATAACAATCTACAAATAAGCTCGAGGATATAACGTAATCGTATATAGTTACATATGTAGAGCTTATTAGATTTGATTAGTAGATTCGAAGTCTTAGATAATTTTAATATCTTGCATGTGGTGAAGGATGATGTACAAACTATGAGACCAGAACTTGTATTATACAAGCCATTGGTTCACAGGAAAACTCACAAGGCATGCAAATAGAGCAGAAAATGTGTCTATATATCTTCTTCTTCAGCTGTACACTCTGGCGGAAAGTTCTGGTTGCTCGTCCACTACTGAACTGCAGTCCTGCTCCAGAACCTGAGTGTTGTGTGTGCATCAGTTTTACAGATCTCATTCTCTTGAATACAGACTGTTGGTTCCTTGCCTCTCCGGCAGATGCAATCCGACTTCAAAGGAAGCTTCCCAATTAGTCGACTCTTACGACATGCTTTTGGAGAGGCAGTGGGTCTATTCTTGTTTTCCCCACAATGGGGCCCCGGAACCCACACTGGGGGGGGGGGTCTATATATTAATAAATTAGTGTGGCGTCTGCCCGTGTGGTTCCGGGGCCCCATTTGTGAGGGGGGGGGGGACAAGAAAAGGCTCTCTGTCTGCCCAAACATCATGAGTCGCCTTAATGGGAGCTTTCTTCAAAGCCGTAGTACATATGCCGGAGACGCAAGGAGCCAACAGTTTGTATACAAATGAGTCAGACTTGTGAAACGGATGTGCACGCAACACTCATTTCTGAAACAGGACTAGAGTCTAGAAGTGGATGAACAACCAGAAGTTTCCGCTGGGGTTTAAAGCCGGTGAACGCGAAGAAGAAGAGTCTGGCGTATTTTTAGGGCCGTTGAATCTTTTTTTCTGAAAATGTATTGGTTCCTTAATGACTGATAATAATAATTATTATATTGGGGGGGGGGGTGAAACAGACTTGTTTGGGATATCCCATATTCCGTTTAAAATATTAGTGGGGTGTCCCGTTTTCGGCTTGAGGTATGACCACACACCGCCTCCTTTAGCCAGCCGTATGTGCACCCCGCCTATAATTGGTTGGCAGTGCCCCCTTCCCTCTTTTTCCTCCGAAAACATGTATTGATGGAGGGGGTACGACGTGTGTGCCTGAACCCCCATCTCCCGCGGTTTACAGTCTTCCCTGACCAGGTGGAACTGAACTCCCATCTCCCGCGGTTACAGTGTCCCCTGACCAGGTGTCAAGCCGGGTATTATCTGTACCCAGCCCAGGTGTTACGTGACGCCGTACATCAGTTCTGTCAACGGAGCGGCCGCCATTATACTTCCTTGTTTACTTCAGTCCCATTTTTGCGGAAAGAGACAAGTACAAAGTTTATCAGTCTGTCAAATTAGTTTAAAGTTAATGATTATGTTAATAACATTGATTTTCATTACTGATGGAAGGTCGGACATAAAATAGCCATATTTGATAATAGAATAATTATTGTATTTTTTTGGAGTACGTCTAAGTTTGGCAGTTATTTTGATTTAAATAAATTTTATTTTTTTAACTTTTTTTTTTAAATTTAATATTGTTAATTGTAAATTTATATTAGTATTTACAAAGTTATAGCATGAATATATGGGGGACTGAATTTTCCAGTTCTGTATACTGTATCCTACTGTAGGCACCTCAGTATTCGCCCTATAATGTGTTCAGATAATTATAATAATAAATAAATAATTATTTATAGCTATTAATTAATAATTTTTTTTATTTTAAATAATAGAATACTAGCGTTACTAATAACACACTTGTCAACTTACTAATTGTAACTCTTAATGTAACATTATACATCTGTACATCTTTATATGTTGAAACAATGACTTAAATCTCTCATTACAGTGATAGGCAAAGCCAGACAATTTTCTTTTTCACTTTGTTAACTTTCTATATTGAAGGTAACCTGCCATCAAAGAAATTACCTCAAGTGGTACCAACTCCCTTCATATAAGGAGAGATCCCATTGTGGGTTCCAAGGCCCCATTGTGGGGAAACAAAAATAGGTCTCCTGCCTCACCAACAAGCATGTCATAAGAGTCGACTAACTGGGGGTTTCCTTTGAAGTCGGAGTGCATCTGCCTGAGAGGTGAGGAACCAACAGTCTGCCTTGCATACAAATAAGTCAGATCTGTAAAATGAATGCGCACGCAACACTCAAGTTCTGGAACAAAACTAAAGTCCAGAGGTAGTTGAACACCCAGAACTTTCCACCGAAGTTTACAGCCGGTGAACGTGAAGAAGAAGTAGAAGAAGAAGAAGAAATCTCTCATTTCAATGATAGATATAGCTAGACAATTTTTTTTTTAATTTATAATTTTGTTTACTTTATATATTGAAGGTAATTTTTCATCATAGAAGTTACCTCAAGTGGTACCAACTCCCTTTGTGTAAGGAGAGATAAGAAGAGATAAAAGAAAGAGGAAAAGTGTAGCTGTTTGCAAACACATGAGACAGTATATTCCTTAAAAAGATATTCAGGAGGTTTCAACAAACCTCATTTGTTCCATAAAATAAAAGTATTATCACACTTAGCTGGCGCATCAAAGTTTGGCTATTACAAAGTACTCTGCCCAGCCACATTGGACAGATGGCAACATCCTAACCAAAGGGGATCTCATTATAACTGTTTTATACTGTTGAACAAGGTTTCTGAGATATGCTTCTAATTCACATCTGATTTTTTGAGTCACAGTTTGTCAGTTTTTCAGACTGCACTCCTGGAGAGAATTTTTTTTTTAATGACACCTGACCAGTAAGCCCTCCTGGACATATGAAAAGATGGCTGCCTTGTAGAGATTAACTTTTTTTGTTACAGATGGACACTTTTATGTGTCCTGTAGTCTCCTGAAATAGGTCACACAAAGAGAGTCTCAATTCAGTCTCCATGGCAACTTGTTGATATAAATATAAAACAGAATATGCATCAGCAGCAGATACCACAGAAGAAAGTGCAGATGTGTTTTATAATGAGTTAGAAAGGTCTTTGGACAAGCACAGTATTGTTAAACACATTGATACTTTGACACTTCTGTACAACACAAAGCAATCAAACAAGTTAGCAGTATGACTTGGGTCTGTGGCTTAGCTGAAATGAAATGGCAAGATTTAATCAAGGACTAAAAGGAAGAACCTTGTTATATGATATTAACTACCACCCCATTGGAACAGCATGCTGGGTGATTATTAAACTGGAAATCCCTACAGATATTGATTTCAATCAAACTGACTTCTTTCAAATGGCCACTGGGATCATATTCTGATTATAGAAATGAATTATTAAAAAGAAGGCATAACAAAACATAAGTTGTGCATGCAGACAGACAAGGCCAGTGCTGCCTTCTGTATGACTACTAGCTGCATGACAATGGAGGTAATGGCGGTAACATGAGTTTTCATGTCAATATCATCGCAGGACTATTCTCATGTGTGTGTGCTGAGTGATTCCATGATCATGATCCGGCGGATGGAGGTGGGCTTTGTACTCAGACAGTGGATCGAGTCATTTCAAACCTCCACTGTGCGTGGAGTTACCTTTCTCTTTGTCCCAGAGTATGCGGGTATTGTTGGCAATGAAAGAGCCAACAGATTAGCCAGCTCTCCCTTAGTTAATGCCATTAGAGAGGTAGGACGATCGAAGGATTTTGGGAGCACCACATCAACATCTTTGATAAGAGTGCAAGAATTAGGAGTAAAGATCGGCAAAGCCAGGCACATGAAGCACACCGGATGCACAAAAAGTCTTGTCAGCCAGCATAGGACTAGGACTATCAACTGCGGGACCCTGATGTATATGTTGAAGGGGAAATCTGAGCACCTATGGACATGTCTGGAGTGCTGTGAAGATAACCAAATCAGAACTCATAAGCAGATGTATGCTGGGTTGTTGTTGTTCTGTGTGTGTTTGTTATTTATCAGTAAGAATGTATTTTCGTTCATTATCATATCCTCACTGACAAATATTGTCTTTTATTTACTTGCAGAGAGTCATTGCTGAACAGTTCTTATTAAAAAAAACTTATAACTGATGGCCTCTGAGTTTAAAGGTATCAGTGGTAACAATAAGCAGTCTCTGTGTCTATGATGGGCAAAGAATTTGAGGATTTTCTTCACTTCTTCACATCTCCTTCAGAAAGGAAAGATGCTCTGCCTGAAACATTTAATCTTGGTGCAATCCTGGCAGCCATAATTGGGGTGTCCTGTCTGGCATATGTGGTGCTGATGTGTGTGTGCAGGGACAGGTATGCAGAAACTCTTCCTGTAATTAGCGTATCCTTAAGTCTGCTACTTCCTATGTCGATTATGCGTTAGAAAATATGATACATTTCTCCTTATGCATTCACACTCAAACATGCTGTGGGGAGGGTGACCGTACATCTGTTTTTGCCGGGACAGTCATGTATTTAGGTGTGTTCCAGCCATCCTGCCTGTACTCCCAAAAATGTCAATTGCCCATTTAAAAAATATCTAGGGAAAAGTTTGAGAATACTACATGCACTTACAGTTATGTCTGTAGACCTTTTTAAATTTATTTTATTTTTTTTTTAGATGGTTTGAATGTCCAGAATATTTTGATGGGAATTTTCATTGTAGTATTTTTTTTTTTGGGTCAGTGCAGTTAAATATCATGCTATTTTTATTGTTTCTTGGGGACAATAGTTCAGTTTTTAATACCATTGCCGAGTGAGTTACAGTATTAACCCTCTTACCTTGGTGACCTTGAAAATAAGGTGATGGGATTAAACTAACTTGCTTGGGATGTCTCATTTTCAGCTCAAAAGGTGCTGAAAGGTGAGCAGACAGATTTTACTGCACTAGGTTTTATTCTGTCTTGTTTGTCCAATTTCCACAGAGCACCTGGCCACCTGGCTCACAAAAAGTAGAGTAGCTCTAGCAATGATCCATACAAAGACAGGATAAAACCTTTTAAAATGTATCCTCCCAGTGTGGATTTCAGGGCCCCATTTTAGGGACAGAGGAACATAGCCACTGCCCTTTAACAAGCATGTCATAAAAGGCAGTTAATGACTTGGATGGTTCACACAAAGTAGTGTAGCCCTAGCAATGATCCATACGGATCTTTTAAAAAATATGACATTTTTGAACCAAATAATGCAGTCATAAATGAACCAACAATATTCAGACCATAGAGCCAAAGGCTTGACCACTCAGTAGTGCTTGTTGCATTAAACCCTGTCTTGGACAGGGCCTGATTAAGATGTACAGGCACTTAGCCAACTTCCACCAGGCCCTCATATACTGATTCATGATTGGTTGGAATTTGGAGTTCAACTTTTCTACAAGATGAGGTAGCCAGTATTATTCCAGTTGTCCTTAAATTCATATCTTTTAATGTAACATGTAGGTTTGTGTTAATAGGGGTCGTAGTGGTGGTGGTGATAGGGGTCATGTTGATGGTAGGGGTCATGGTGGTGGTAGGGGTCATGTTGATGGTAGGGGTCATGGTGGTGGTAGGGGTCATGGTGATGGTAAGGGTCATGGTGGTGGTGGTGGTAGGGGTCATGTTGATGGTAGGGGTCATGGTGGTGGTGGTAGGGGTCATGTTGATGGTAGGGGTCATGGTGGTGGTGGTGGTAGGGGTCATGTTGATGGTAGGGGTCATGGTGGTGGTGGTGGTGATAGGGGTCATGGTGATGGTGGTGATAGGGGTCATGTTGATGGTAGGGGTCATGGTGGTGGTGATGATAGGGGTCATGTTGATGGTAGGGGTCATGGTGGTGGTAGGGGTCATGGTGGTGGTAGGGGTCATGATGATGGTAGGGGTCATGTTGATGGTGGTGGTAGGGGTCATGGTGGTGGTGGTGATAGGGGTCATGTTGATGGTAGGGGTCATGGTGGTGGTAGGGGTCATGGTGGTGGTATGGGTCATGATGATGGTAGGGGTCGTGGTGGTGGTAGGGGTCATGATGATGGTAGGGGTCATGGTGGTGGTGGTAGGGGTCATGGTGGTGGTGGTAGGGGTCATTCTGATGGTAGGGGTCATGGTGGTGGTGGTAGGGGTCATGGTGGTGGTGGTAGGGGTCATGGTGGTGGTAGGGGTCATGATGATGGTAGGGGTCGTGTTGATGGTGGTGGTAGGGGTCATGTTGATGGTAGGGGTCGTGGTGGTGGTAGGGGTCATTGTGGTGGTAGGGGTCATGGTGATGGTAGGGGTCGTGATGGTGGTAGTGGCAGTAGTAGTAAACAAAAATATTCTGTTCAGTCCGCCTGGGTTATATCTGGGATATATGGAGGTTTTTTCCTACTGTGAAATTTGATATTTATGCTTATCAGTTACTTTTGTTTATTGTATATTGGATAGATTATGTTTCATAACAGATTGTAGGCATAGAGACTGTAAAGTTTAATATGTTTAAATTCACTTGTTTAAAAAAATGTTGATCTGGGACACATTTATTCTGTCTTAATGATAGTTCTCTAAAGTTAGTTTCCTCTTCTTTGCTTACTTTTAGGTTCTTTGTTTGCTTTCAGGTTCTTTGCTTACTTTTAGGTTCTTTGCTTACTTTCATGATCTTTGCTTATTTTCATGTTCTTTGCTTACTTTCATGATCTTTGCTTATTTTCATGTTCTTTGCTTACCTTATCAACATAAAAAACCAATGGCCAGCAGCCATCTACCTTCCAGATGACACACGTGCCCTTGAGTCAGGACGGGTCCCAAGGTTATGAACAAAGTCCCTCTTTAAGGTGAATCTAAATGTTTGACCAATTGATGAGTATACCAGTAAGCTCACTACTATAGTAATGAGATTGTTTACAGTGTGCATCCTGAGGTGTTGACTGTCACTTGTCAAGTTTGCACTGAACACATTGTGGAATTGAGAGTTCATGTACAGTTTTTGACAACAGGTCGCTGAGTGAGTTACAAAAGACAGTGAAGTTCATACTAGAGACAGCATTGCAGATATAGATAATCCATTTCAAGTGGACGAAAAAGGAAGAAAAAGAATTTTTTGACAGCTATGAAAATGATGCTAAATATGTTTCAGTGGACAGAAGAAGACAAAAGATGTAAAAGCCAACCAGCTGTCTCACAAGACAGACAAGACATCTGTGGTAAGCATCTGTCTCAATATATTTGATTGTTTAACATTGAAGTGTATTCATTTCTAACAGTGCTCTGTACTTGCTCCAGTCATATATTTATACTACTCTTCACAATTCAAGGCCACCCTATTAATTTCAGCGCGGAAAGATTAAATGAAAAAATTTCAGTAAGAAGGGATGCAGTATCTTCCTATGATAGTCCGCTGTGCACGTGATGCATGAAAACAACTCACCAACAATCATAGTGATCACATGCGGTTGTGTTTGCTGACCATAAATTCACATTTAGGCTTTGATTTTTTAAACTTTCTCACAAACAAACAGGTAAAGCAATCAGCTGATTGACATTGATGTGCAATGGTGACTGTTCGTGAACAGAGTTCACTCTTAATTTGTTTTACAATCAGCAGACTTAGGTTTGTTTCATCACTTACAAAAACCAAACCAACAAGAAGATGTCTTGACAACTTACAAATAATCAGGCTATGGGCTGAAAGTGGCTTGTCTAACTGTGAAGTTGCTAGATAATCAGGCTATAGCATGGGTTGAAAGTGGTTTGTCTACCTGTGAAGTTGCTAGATAATCAGGCTATAGCATGGGTTGAAAGTGGCTTGTCTACCTGTAAAGTTGCTAGATAATCATGCTATATCATGGGTTGAAAGTGGCTTGTCTACCTGTGAAGTTGCTAGATAATCAGACTATAGCATGGGTTGAAAGTGGCTTGTCTACCTGTGAAGTTGCTAGATAATCAGACTATAGCATGGGTTGAAAGTGGCTTGTCTACCTGTGAAGTTGCTAGATAATCATGCTATATCATGGGTTGAAAGTGGCTTGTCTACCTGTAAAGTTGCTAGATAATCATGCTATATCATGGGTTGAAAGTGGCTTGTCTACCTGTGAAGTTGCTAGATAATCAGACTATAGCATGGGTTGAAAGTGGCTTGTCTACCTGTGAAGTTGCTAGATAATCAGACTATAGCATGGGTTGAAAGTGGCTTGTCTACCTGTGAAGTTGCTAGATGGCTTGCAGTGTCATACTCTACTGTACAAAAACATTTGGAGAGATTTCAGGCTACAGAAAGTATGGAGGATTGCCACCAGCCAGGTCACCCTAGATGCACCAATAGATATAATGACCGGTACCGATTGTTGTAAGCCATATGCCATCGAGCAGTGACTTGTTGCACTCTAAAATGTCAGCTGAGACAAACTGTAAACATTAATGTCAGTCAAATCACCATTATCAGACATTCAAAAGAATTTGCACTGGTTGCTCAACGTCCTTCAGTCAGAATAGCTCTTACTCCTGCTCTTTGCAAAGCCCATATTGCTTGTTGTCACAAGCACATTAGATGAACAAGGCAACAATTGAGTCAAGTCCTCTTCATTGACAAACTGCACTTTACTGTGTCTTTCAGTGATGGTGGGATTCAGGGTTGGAGACAACCAGGAAAGTGATTGACTAAAGACATAATCTGCAATGTGGATCATTATGGTAGGCGTTCTATTGTGGTCTGGTGAGGCTTCCACAGACATGGCAGGATCCCACTCTAGGTGTTGCAGGGCAGCTTGACTGGCCCAAGATACCAATTCAAAATCTGGAGACTAGTTGTTCAGCTGCTCTGGAGGCTGTAGGTGGTAATGCTCATTCTCTCGACCTTTCTCAGCTTAAGTATCTTTGGGATGTTCTTGGTCGAAGATGGTCAACAATCCACTCTCTGCCAATGGATGTTGCACAGCTGACTGCATTTCTGCCTCAAGAATGGCCAGTGGTTCCTCTTCAGACCCTTGTGGACTCAATGCATCTATGCTGTCTTGAAGGCTTGGCTGCAATAAGGTGGTAATACCCGATTTTGAAATGTCTAGTTATCTGACATCTGTTGTGTGACATTTTAATGTGTTTCCATTTCCTCCTATGACATGTCAACTTGGTATTCAATAAATGCTGTTTCACTGATATTACTTAGTTTATAACAGAACTGTTTTATGGTTTCAACCAAGGTGTTTTTTAAGTGCTCTTGACTTTTGATGAGTAGTATGTTTGAAATTCGTGAATTTTTTCATAGCATAGTTTACCCACACACATGCACATGCGCGCGCACGCATGCACACATGCACCCACCTCAGTAGCTGGCCAATAGAACCCGACACTGCCTTTACCTTGTTTGTTGTCCCATCGAAATTGGCTACTGAAAGTTTAAACTCCACCTTTTCACCCTTCCACTCATATTTCAAACTACAATTGTATTTGATCTTAAAAATATATTGTTGTTTTTTTTATATAACAATATACATATTATGAGCATCAAATAAAATAGACAAAACCCTGGTGGTGGTAAATGCATAGCAGCAGAAAATTAATGACATTGATTTCGATTTTAAATGTAAGCATGTCCACATCTCGCCATCTTCAGTAACATGTGTCAGTATGGGAACTGGCATATTTCCATGCCATTACAGAAGGCTATCAAGAATCTGCCTGTGTTGTCTTCCTCTGTCTCTGTTGATAAAATTGCAACAAAGCTGACTGATAAGTTAAAGTGGGTACCAAGTGATGATCACACTTTTATGGGAATCGTCTGAGAAGGAAAGGCAACTTGGAATCTCTACTCATTAAGTAATGACACAACCCAGTTCTTCACACTTCAGTGGCAGTATTGGTCATGAGTCTATCTTGACCTTCTAGTTGGTGCATGATGGAACATTCTTATGTCACATTCCTCGAACATCATTTGCTGAGTACGCCTCAACATTTTCCTGTTTCCAGGTGCCACAGAATGGGGCAGAGTCCAGGACCGAGATAGTTTGGGGTCGAACATTGCCACCTCCTGATGTCACATCAAGGTCAGTTTTTCTTCGCTTAAATCAATGTTTCATAATATTCATATATAGAGAGGAGAGAGAATTTTGCAGCTCATGTGATATTCAGATGACTGTGTGCATGTTACTTTTTATATAGGTGTGCTTCCAGTCACATTTTACATCATTTTCTTTTACATGTTTTCAAACAATTCAAACAAACTTTTTTTCTACAAAAGGAAGTACTTAGTTACTTACTGCATTGTACTGTTTGATTTCATACTGTGCTGTCTTGTTAGACACTGCTCTTTGATCACCCACTCAATTCTTTTGTTGCACATTCTAATATTTCATTGCACACTTGAGTCTTTGGTTACACAGAGAATTTTTGGTTGCATGCTGAAGTGTTTGATTGCACACTTAAGACTTTAGTTACTTAATGTACTGTTTGGTTACATTCGATATAATTTAACACACAATGTACTGTCAGGTTACAAACTGTACTGTTTGATTTTGAACTGTACTGTCTGGTTGCACACTTAATTCTAAGTGCCCTCACAACTGGTATTCTTGTGACCAGACAATCAGAGTGTTCATTATCCTGGAACAGTCTAAAGCAAGTTGCCATGCAGAAGTATTGCCATGGTAGAAAAAGCATTTTGCAAGATGGAAACCGTACTTAACAATATAAAATAAACAATACCAAATATTTGTCAGTTGCTGTGAGAGGTCGAATGTTCAAGTGATGTACTTCTTCTTCTCTTCCTTCATTTATCTCATTAAAGTTGATGGGGTAAGGGGGTTAGGTATTGTCTGTATTCTATTTCTAATGAGTTTTATAAGTTGATCTTCGTTTCCTCAAAGCTGTTTTTGATGCTATCATTTCATCACTTGTTTGGTCTTTGCCTTGCTCTATTTTCATTGAATTTTTTTCAGTGTGGCTCTTTTTGGCTGCTGGTACCAAACCATCTTATCTGCTGGTCTTGCAACCTGGTTTCTATTTATTGCTTCATTTGTTATTTTATCTCTTCTTGTGACTCCACTAAATCTTCTAAGATCTTTCATCTCTTTGATGTGCCCTGATATTAAATGATATATTTTATAAATATGGGCCTTAGAAACGAAGAAAATTTTTTATATTATTAAAGGGTCACATTCGGCCATTCCAGACGTCTTTTACACATCAGCCGTATTTATTTCTGCAAAGTATGTTTTGTTCATTTAGCAAAATGCATAGTATGAATATGGGGTAAAAAAATACAAAAACATGCATGGCAAATATTTACATTCAAATAGACATTTGTGCATACACACATACACAGGCTCATACTTACACACAGACTTCTACACCCACAAATTCATACACACATGCAAACACACACACCTACATACACACTAATCTTTTTAATACATACTTATATATACATATACTTGCATATATGTGTGTGTGTGTATCACTATGACATACACACACACATGCATTCACACTGACACCTCTATATATTCTTCATACACACACACATGCATTCACACTGACACCTCTATATATTCTTCATACGCACACTCATTTCTACAGATACACACAGATATTGGCTTTAGTACTGAAGATAAAATATAATGTTAATGTGCATACAATGAAAAAGAGTCTGATGAAGGCTTTACTTTGGTTACAGCCTCCAGACCAATCAGATACCAGCTAACTCAAGAGCATCAATTGCCAGACTGCTTCCAGCGCCACCTGTCTCTAGTTACGAGACTGTTGCCAAGCAACCTGCTGGACATGAGCTGACAAGTTCAGGGTTAAAACATGGTGGCCACATTTCTGGAATGGCTGCACTGAATAATCAACAGCTTCATGGTAAAAATATTGTACCATCAAGTGTTGGGAGGACAGAGATGTCAAACACGGACTATGAACACCTCGGTTCAAAAAGTGTCATTATACCATCCGGTAAATGTTTTCTTCTTTTTATCTTTCTTTTTTTTTCAGCTTCTTTAGATCTTTTCTGCAAAGACAATCAATATTTACTTTTTCTGTCTATACATTTTATTGTACTTACTTTAACACTGTATTTTATCTTCATCGTTAAAGCCAATTTGATGTTCTTCTTTGGATCTTTTCTTTATGTATTTCCTTTTATTTCACACAGTTAAAATCACAGTAAGGATTTTATTTTGCCCCCGACAGCAAAAATCCCCAGTCTTATCTAGGATTCGAACCCGTGTCTCCGGCTGGAGAGCCCAGCATTCTAACTGTTTGGCCAGCCGCTCCTCAGCCAATGTCCTAAGAAAAGTTTCATCAAATAACCTGTACAAATCAGAAAACCAGCTTTCTCCGGGTGACAGAGTAACTGTGAAACAATTGTTTTCTGCAGATTATGACAGTCTAAATGAGCTCAAGAGTCATGAGAGAAGAAAGGTGCCGTCAGAATCATCTGAAAGCTCCGACAATGATTATTCAGAGCTTGATGATAAAACGTACCCAGAGGTCATAGAGGTCAGTTCCAAGAGAGAAGAACTGTCTGACCCTTATTCCAAGATAAAGGATGAAATTGAGGTAAATTTATTTTACATAAATATATGTGTGTAAACACAAATTTGTGTCTCTACATGTGTTGGTTTAAATGCTTCTACATAAACGTATGCCATATTCATTTGTCAACATCAGATTAGTCAAACGAAAATGTTGCTGAAGTTATCTGATCATATTACACCATCTTTCCTGTTCTCAGTAACCCTTTAACTTGCCATAAGCCTGAGTCCCAATGTTTCTGCACACCTGTGCTCTCATATGACCTCTTTTACTCTTGCCTTGAATTTGACCCTCAGTATTTGCAGTATTAAACCTCCATGTTATATCCTGCGACAAAGTTAGGTCAGTCTTCATGTATTGTCCAGTGCTGAGGGGGTATTGTCCAGTGCTGAGGTGACAGTATCCAGTGCTGATGTGGTGGTGTCCGGTGATGAGATGGTGGTGTCCAGTAATGAAGTGACAGTGTCCAGTGCTGAGGTGGCAGTGTCCAGTAATGAAGTGACAGTGTCCAGTGATGAGGTGGTGGTGTCCAGTGATGAGGTGGTGGTGTCCAGTGATGAGGTGGCTGTGTCCAGTGATGAGGTGGCAGTGTCCAGTGCTGAGGTGGCAGTGTCCAGTGATGAGGTGGCAGTGTCCAGTGATGAGGTAGCAGTGTCTGGTGCAGTGATAGCAATGTCCAAAGCTCATAATTTGCTCATTTGATCATATTTTTGTCTAAGCCACAAGTTAAGATGTGGAATACTAGGTTAAACATGAGGGATGCAAGGTTAAACCTGTGGGATGCCAGGTTAAGCAGGTGGGATACAAGTTTAACATGTGAAATACAGGTAATAATCTAATCAGCACCTGTCCTACACTGCCTCTATTTGCTACCTTTTAAGGCTGTGTAGGACAGGCTGGGCTTGAGGCTGACAATGAAAAGCTGTATGGCTGGTGCAGAAGCCATGGACTCTTCAGGCTAGGATGTTTTTTGTCTGAACTACATCAGCTTCATGAAAATATCAGGTGACTGACAGAGTTGTGATTGCAGGTCAGCTCTAGAAAGGGCACTTGAAGACTAAAATAGAGCTTGGTCTTAAAAGGGCAACAAGTGAACCATACAATAAAATGCCTTCAGTTGGCTTGACAATCAGCTGTACACACATGTCATAATTGTAACTGACTCACAGAGTGTGTTGGGAAAGGTGCAGACAGGGATGTTCAGAGTGGCAGGCATCGCTTCAGGGGTACCCGTCCTTTAGATCTTTTCTCTAGATTGGTGTGTTGGGAAATGAGCAGGCGGATAGACTGGCCAGTTCTGCACCACTTTGTGGTGAACTGATGTATCTCAAGCTAAGTGTGGTAAGGGCCCTTTGGGAGTGATTGAACAGTGTGGGGCACAAATAGATCATTACAGTCTGAGGAGTTACCAGGGGATCTGGCCAACACTCAAGGGAACGATGAGACAGACACTGCAATTGGAACACTTCGCTTGCTGTTAAAGATGGAGATGGAGCACTAATGGGAGTGTCCTGAGTGCAGTGATGTTGATTCTTAATTCAACCTTCAACGTTCAAACAAATGTACTACCTGGAAGGAAAAGATAACTGAACCAGTTTTGTTCATAGTTTGGGCAGGTGCTTTACTCACTATAATAGCTACTCTTGCACTAAGAATTTTACTTTTTCTATTTTGATAGTTGAAGGAGGAAGACCCTTACAACCACATTGGAGACTCCGGGGGAACTGTGACTGTGCAGGTTATACAGCAGCTGAAGCGGTCGTCTCGTAGCCATGCTGGGGATTCAGATGGGTCTGTATCTGCTGCTGTAGTAAGTCAACTCAAACAGCTACGAGAACAGGATGATCCTTATGCAACAGTTCAAGATGGTTCAGATGGAACCATTAAAAATATTATCAGATCAGGGGAAGTCACTCAAGGTGATTTCTGTTTTTAACAATGTTATTACTTCTGCTTCACAGTAATGTTTCACAGCAATCGTTTGTTACCAAGAACAGTTAGAGGATCCAAACAGAAGTATCCCTGTAGCCTACAAAGTGTGTTGTAAGTGGCTGGTTGGTGGTTGAGAAGATTTGAAAAGTCCTGTTCTCAAGTCTACTGCATTGGTGTTGGGTTGCCTGAGCCTTGAAATAGGTTTCTACTCATCGGCTAGGCCATGGTGTGGAGGCTTTCTTTCCCAGCTGGTGCCGAAGTAACAGCTCACTGGACCTGAGTTGTTGCATAGCTCCTGGCCTCTTTTTCAAGTACAGAAGCCAAAAACAAATCCACAACCCTGAAAACATGAGGCAAAAGGTTTGCCATTCAACTTCAAGGCACCTGTTAAACTGAATGTAAGCCTCAGAATGGGATTTATTGGGATAAAACTAAAACAGAGAATAAACACAAAATAAGTTATCTTCTTTTCCTTTGACATAGAAAGGAAGCTAAATAAATATATAATTTTTTTTTTTAGCTGCAGATTTCACAATTTTAGCAGGTTCTTTACACAACGTTGATCCCATCACAGCACACCTGACAGAAACTTGGTCCCTCACCAGCTCTCACACCTCACCCATTCTCCTGCACAAGTATCTCTTATGTCCTGTGCCAGTCTTTGCACCGGTTAGCCGCTGTCCCTCTTACCCAGCACCATGCCCTCCCAGCTACTGTTTTTTTCCAGTCCAGTGTGGCCATTGCTGTGGCCAAAGTATGTTTACGAGCCAATTTTCTTATTAAATCACATAAGAAATTATGTTTCTCTGCTTTTTTTATACTGAACACTTTTGATCGGATAAGGTCACTCACCACCAGCTGAATCTCTTAGAGTGACTATTCTCATCCTTGGACATCATAATTTTTAACATCATCCTGTGCTATTCTAAGTGGCACTGATGATTATATTCCTCCTCAAAGATCTGTCCTGTGTGTTCTTGATAATATCAGCCATTGATTATCTATGTACCCCCTTCTGAACCTTTCTATGTGTTCTTGATAATATCAGCCACTGATTATCTATGTACCACCTTCTGAACCTTTCTATGTTTTCTTGATAATATCAGCCACTGATTATCTATGTACCACCTTCTGAACCTTTCTATGTGTTCTTGATAATATCAGCCACTGATTATCTATGTACCACCTTCTGAACCTTTCTATGTGTTCTTGATAAGTTCAGCCACTGATTATCTATGTACCACCTTCTCAACCTGTCCTATGTGTTCTTGATAAGTTCAGCCACTGATTATCTATCTATGTACCACCTTCTCAACCTGTCCTATGTGTTCTTGATAAGTTTAGCCACTGATTATCTATGTACCACCTTCTCAACCTGTCCTATGTGTTCTTGATAAGTTCAGCCACTGATTATCTATGTACCACCTTCTTAACCTGTCCTATGTGTTTTTGATAAGTTCAGCCACTGATTATCTATGTACTATCTTCTCCACCTATCCAGCATTTCCTCTTTGTGTATCTGACATCCCCCATCTTGCCTGTTGTCACATTCTTCTCCAGATCCTTTCAACTTATAACATGAACAACGGATCAATTCTGTCTTGTCCTCATGGGGGATCATTGAATGCTTTGACCTTCTGCAGTACTCAGATATTGATCTTTTTGTCCGTCTGTAATATTTTTGGTATTCTATAGAGCAAGAACATTACTGTGGCCTCCATATCTTCTGCTGTCTTGATTCAATGTCCGTGATTCACAGGCTTACAGTTGAATGGGCAGTGTGTATCAGAGATAGCACAAATATTAAACCTTTATTTCGTTAATGCTTAATGATGTTAATCAAAGATGGCAGAGACACAGAAACTTGGGAGACTGTTGCAGCAGCCAGAAACTCCTGAAGAAGAGATGTGCAACACAGACTTGTGCTATTTAGGTGTAATCTGATCCAACAATCTGAGGATACAAGGCACAAGTATTAAATGCAGTCCCTTGCTACAGGAGCTGCCTCAACTTACAGACTGTAGAAACTGTGACAGAGAATGTCGCTCTCACATCAGACCGTATAGTCACCAGCGGCACCTTAAGGTGCCTGCCCAGTGGCACAACTTTTAGTCCTGCAGGACTGAAAAGAGGCCTAGTAACGAGGTTTTCAGTTGCTGTTATTCATTCAGTCAAAAAAACAGATAACTGACTTCACTTTTCTTAGAAAGATAGATAAAACACGGAGTAAGAAAACTGATAATTCAATTTAATAAGCCTGTGATTTTGTACATGTGAATAACTTAGTATTTCTAGGCCTGGCTAAATCTTTGCTTTTGCATTGACTTTAAATTAGAGAATAAAGGTTGTTGTAATGATGTATGATTACCCATGCGGGTTGACAAGACACGAGGAGACAAACAATTATTTCTTCTTCTGTATTAATTGAATGACATAATTATGTTGTACATGTTTACAGCAGGGTTATGATATTTTCACCTTTTAGCCTATACATTTGACTTCTTTAGACATTTGTTACCTGGATTATCTTCCCAAAAAAACGATTTAAAGGGTTACCATCAGTACTTGTTGTCTTTCTCAGAAATAAACCATCATAATGCTACAGGAACAATGGATGATGTTGTCGAAGAGTATGCAATTATTCACAAGACAAAAGATGGGGCGAATCATGTAGTTGGAGATCAAGAGCAAGGCTCGGAAGACAAAGAGTTCTTTCCCTATGGTGTTAGCCCCCCTGAACCTCCAAGATTGTACACAGTTCTAGACACTGAAGAAGATGCAAATGACATTCCAAAGCACAAAACAAGTAAGCTATATACTCCTTCATTTCATTTACTCTTTATGAGCCAGACACAGATTTGTAGCCAGTAGAAAATATGTGACCAGCAATTTTATCCAAATATTTTGTTTTGGTTCCTGATTAACAATTTCAAATGCAATCCTCATCCTTTACCAGGGACTAAGCGACTTAGAGAAAGACTTGGCTTTCTCATCTCTTTCAGACATTGAAATGAGAGTAGCTTTATCTTTCAGGTATTGGTTTGAAAGTAGCACCATCTTTCAAGCGTTGGTTTGGAACCCATCCAACTAAATACAGAAAACTGGATTTCTGTTGGAGATCTAAATAGCCACTCACCTAGCTGGGACTACACAGACCTCAATGCAAAAGGAGAAGAGGTAGAAAACTGGATAATCAGCAACACTCTAGTTCTGATAAATCATCGTGATGACCCAGACACATTCTACTCTCGAGCTTGGAGGAAAACTAGCACCCCAGACTTGGCTATAGCAACTGAAGATGTGGAAAAAGTTACCAGCCGGGATGTATGTCAACAGCTGGGAGGCAGTGATCACAGGCCCGTAATCCTGTCTATTAACAAAAGTAGAGAGGTTACTAAGGAAAAGAACCCTCCCAGATGGAACTACAAGAAGGCTAACTGGAGCCTTTTCACTTCCCAGTTGGACGACATGTTGAAGAGAGTCTTCTTCAGAAGACTGGAAATAAATGCCAAACTGAAGATCCTCAACTCAACTATTCTAAATGCAGCCAAGGGTAACATACCACGAGGCAGCAGGAAAAACTTTAAACCTTGCTGGTCGCCTGAACTGGAGACTCTGCATTCCAAACTTAGTACCAGGAGGGAAAATATGGAGAAGGATCCGACAGATACAAATGTAATACTTCATAACAGAGCAAAAGCAGCCTTCATCAAAGAGAGAAATAATCAGATGAGGGAAAGCTGGCACAAAAAGACGGCGTCATTTAACCTCGAGAAGGACACTTCACATCTGTGGAATCTCACAAAAAGCCTGAATGGAGAAAAGATAGAAAAAGCCTGAGTTGTACTCCTAACAGACGATGGAGCTGTTACTGGCAAGGTAGCAGCAGATGTGCTAGCTGAAACACACCAGAAGGAAACTGAGGTCCATATTCCCATGCAAAGAATAAAAGAAATACGAAATCAGACCAAGACTCTTCTAGCAGACTCTAGCACAAAAACAACAGAGGCCTGCATGTCAGAAAAGTTTACCATGCAAGAGCTGGAAGTTGGAATTGGAGAGTTGAAAATGAAGAAAGCCCCAGGGGCTGATGGCATTACAAACGAATTTCTCTCTCATCTTGGACCTGCTGCCAAGAAGTTTCTCCTCTGCATTTACAACCAGAGCTGGCAAAAAGGGGTAGTACTGTCAGCCTGGAAGGAAGCCCTCATCCAGCCTATCCTTAAAAAGGGTGGAGACAGAAGAGACCCAAAAAGCTACAGACCCATTAGCCTTCTTAGTTGTGTAGGAAAATTGATGGAGAAATTAGTAAATAAAAGACTAATATGGTTCTTGGAAACAAACTCGGTAATCACCACCACCCAGACAGGATACAGACAGCACAGAAACACAGAGGACCAGTTGACATATCTGGCACGGGAAATAGAGATTGCCTTCCAAGAAAAAAAGAAAGTTCTTGCTGTTTTCTTTGACCTCTCTCGTGCTTTCGATACAGTTTGGAAAGAGGGCCTACAACTAAAACTGCTACAGGCAGGAGTTGTGCATAACATGTACAAGTGGATCAAAGACTTTCTTTTCCAACGCAGAGCCAGATTCAGAATTGATGGACACATCGACAAACTGGCAAAACCAAGAGGAGGAATTCCCCAGGGCAGTGCAATAACACCAACTCTGTTCCTGGTTTACATAAATGATATCACAGCAAACTGCCACCAATACGTTTATAATACCCTACATGCTGATGACTTTGCAGTTTGGACAGCCTCCGAATACACTACCACAGCCTCATATCTGTTACATAAAATTGTGGAAAATGTAGAAGCCTAGACCAAAAAGTGGGGTCTAAAGCTAAATAATTCAAAAAGCACAGCATTACTTTTCTCTCTCTCTCCCCCAAAAAAGAAAAAATCAAAATTTTGATAAAAAACCAGTTCATTCCACAGACTGACACTCCCACCTTTCTTTGTCGTTACACTTGATTTGCGACTAACGTGGAAGTCACACGTAGAAGCAGTACAGGGGAAAGCATTCAAGAAGCTTGCAGTGATGAAAAAATTAGCGGGTACCACATGGGGAGCTAACTCCAGAATCCTAAAACAAGTATATACTGGAGCAGTCAGGCCAGTCATGGAATATGCCTCCACTGCATGGGCTGCAGCAGCCAAGACAACAATGGGAAAACTGAACAAGGTTCAGAATATGAGATTAAGGATTGTTCTCGGAGCCATAAAAACCACCCCCATCAGAGAGATAGAGAGGATAGCAGATACTGAACCACTCGAACTCAGAAGACAATACAAAACTCTTTTACAGTATGAGAAATTAAAAAGACTTGAAAGTCACCCATTGCATTTTAAATTTCAAGAGAGAACAAAAAACAGACTGAAGCGTCAAAGCCCCAACCACCTTGCTAGAGAACTATACAGACAGCACCAAGATCTGCTTGAAAGAGATGTAGCACTGTGCGAAAAACTTAGGCCAGAACCATGGACAAGCAAGCTAGAGAAGGCAAATGTAGTCTTAAAGATACCAGGGATCACTTCAAAAGATGCCCAGACGGAGACACAACAGAGAACCCTGGCCCTTGCTATGCTTGATGAGAAGTATCCAAACACCACTTGGACTCAGGTTTTCACCGACGGCTCTGCTACAGATGCAGTCAGAAAGGGGGGTTTTGGAATATACATTAAACCCCCTAGCAGTAGAGCAGAAACTCTTTCTCTACCAGCAGGTGACATCTGCACTAACTTCAGAGCTGAGGCAACTGCCCTCCTTTCTGCAGTCCAACATCTCATCACTCAAGAACACAGAGGGCACCGAATTCTTATACTTAGTGACTCGTCTGTTCTCCAACCACTATCTAGCAAAAAACAAGACAAACTAATTGCAGATCTAAGGACCAACATTGGCTTACTCTCCAAGGAAGCAGAACTGGTCTTGCAGTGGATACCAGCCCACTGTGGTATTCAAGGAAATGAGAGAGCAGATGAATTGGTACAAGCTGGGAGCAATCTTCCACAACCTCATCCACCACACAGCTACAAGGAAACCAAAACAGTGCTAAAGCAGTCTTTCAAGCGGGAGTGGAGAAGGTAGAATGGAGATTACAGACCAGAGAGTGACAACATAAACAAACTCAACAGGAAAGAACAAACAACAATTTTTAGACTTCAGACTGGACACTGGTCTTCGAGCACAGGATAGGCATAAAAGAATCTGCTGCCTGTGATTGTGGAGCAGAAAGACAGACCCCTGAGCACATACTACAGTACTGCCCTTACATCTCCCAGCAAAGACTGTGGATCTGGCCCAAAGGAGCCACATTGAAAAAGAAGCTATGGGGGACCGGTGGCGACCTTAAACGCACAATCCTATTTGTGACCCAGACGGGACTCAATTTTTAGCATGACTGATGTCGAACGCAGAAGAAGAAGAAGACCATCTTTCAGACATTGGTTTGAGAGTAGCACCATCTCAGGTTGTGGCCCCACCACACAATATCCCCGTAGTAAGCAGTGATTACATTTCAGCCAATCTTCAGCGCAGGAACAGGACAGTTTTTGCTGATTAACATTTTGTAATATTATAGACTGTCGGCTCTGTGGCTAAGTCGATGCGAACGCTTCGTAATGCCGGGGTGCCATGTTCAATCCCAGCTACGGACCATGCGCTTTGCGTTAGTTTCGACAGTGGTATCAAGAAGCCGACTGTACAGAAAGCAATGGCAAACTATTGGACGTAAATTTGCCTAGAGAAACCACACAACAGCTAGGGGCTGCTGAGGTTGGTTCTGCAACGTCCTGTAAAGGATACGCAAGCTGAAGGACATGCATGGCACCATAGCCCTCGTAGAGGCTTACCATAGCCCTCATAGAGGCTTACCATAGCCCTCATAGAGGCTTACCATAGCCCTCGTAGAGGCTTACCATAACCCTCATATAGGCTTACCATAGCCCTCATAGAGGCTTACCATAGCCCTCATAGAGGCTTACCATAGCCCTCGTAGAGGCTTACCATAGCCCTCATATAGGCTTACCATAGCTCTCATAGAGGCTTGCCATAGCCCTTATATAGGCTTACCATAGCTCTCATAGAGGCTTACCATAGCCCTCATATAGGCTTACCATAGCCCTCATATAGGCTTACCATAGCCCTCGTAGAGGCTTACCATAGCCCTCATGAATGCTTACCAGCTTCTCATTTGAAAACCGCTAGGAGCGAGAAGGAAAAGAAGGTTGTAGACAGGGAAAGGGATCGTCTGCACTGAGTAGATGCTCTTAGGGAAAATTTGTACCTGTGTTTAGAATTCCTTATGTGGGTTCCGGGGCCCCATTGTGGGGAAAAACAAGAATAGACCCACTGCCTACCCAAAAGCATGTCGTAAGAGTCGACTAATTGGGAGCTTCCTTCAAAGTCGGAGTACATCTGCCTGAGGGGCAAGGAACCAGCAGTCTGCACTCAAATGAGTCAGATCTGTGAAATGGATGTACAGGCAACACTCAGGTTCTGGAACAGGGCTGGAGTCCAGAAGTGGATGAACAACCAGAACTTTCCACCTGAGTTTGCAGCCGGTGAATGCAAAGAAGAAGAAGAAGAATGTGTGAAAGTTAAGGTTTTCTCAAAGAAGAAATACCGTTATAGAATATCCAAGTAAAAGAAACAGCCTAACATAATTGAATTGTTTCAGCTTTCATCAGCTAGTTATAGTAATGGACCCACAGTTCCTTGTTGAGATTTGAACACAAATTGCTTTGGCAAAAGTAGATGAGGCTCTTTGCTTTTCTATCTTTCTTTCTCTCTTTCTTTCTTTTTTTCTTTCTTTCTTTCTTTTTTTCTTTCTGTCATTCTTTCTTTCTTTGTTTCTTTGTTTCTTTCTTTCTTTCTTTCTTTTCTTTCCTTCCTTCTTTCTTCTTTTTAACTTCTTCTTCTTCTTCTTCTCCTTCTCATGTTCTTATTCCTCCTCTACTTCTCTTCTTCGTCTTCTACTACTACTGCTGCTGTGCTGCTGCAGTACTCACTGCTGTGTTTATGTTGCAACATAGAAGGCTGCCATTTTTCTGACTGTGAGGAATATTCACTTTCAGAGTACAAATATTCACAAATAACGGCCAGAGAATCGATAGCAAGCATGTCAGCAAGGACATCAGAAAACCCATATGAATCGTTGCCAGACAGCCTTGACAATACCTACACACGGGTTAGTTCCAAATAAACAATTATTTTGTCAATTCTATTCTATTTATTTCACTCTTTAAGACAAAGAAGAATTCGGAACTTGTATTTCCAAGAGTTCAAGGTTCTTAATTTCTATTAATATTTTGTTTCGTTTCTCCTACTAATAATTTTTGATACTCCTGTTACTACATCAATACAGTTTAGAAGGTCATGGACAAGTTATCATTTAGTCAAACAGTAAATTAAAACTCAAGAGAATTCTTCACATAAAAATTACATCCTTTGGGAATTAAAATGGACTGAAGCCTGCACTGCAGACAACAGACATGGGCGTTGACATTGCAGGTAAATGGTTCCATAGAAAGAAATTTTCACACTCTTGCATAGTGCTCATAAATCTTGATATTGGTGTCCAAATGCTACATGGCGATCTTAATTTTAAGACTGTTCGGAATATAAGCAGTAATTTATGCCCATGGATCTGTTATTTAACACTAGCTAAACTGATGAGCTTTTACAGTTCGGTATGGATAATGATTTGATTCAAGAACCGACATCACAGCACTCGGGGTATTCCCATAAGCGCTCCATCCCCATCTTTAGCAGCCAGCGAAGAGTTCCGATACTAATGGTGCCAGTAGCATTCGGATTAAACGTCCGTCTTGCCTTTCCTCTGAGCCTCGAGCATCTGCTAGAACCTCTCGTCATTCCCCCCTGCATCAATCTCACCAGACTGTGGTGATGCATCTGCTCCTCTGAACTGTACATGCTCTCCCACAAGGCACTGTCTGTCCGCCTGTTCATACCCCAACACACCGGCATACCCCGGTGAAAAAATCCAGACTATACTGCTCACCCGTTTCCTCCACAGCGAAGCATGCCACTCTGCACGAAGCATACCTGTTCTGATCTTCCTCAAGGTGCTTTCTGAATCAGTTACAATCACGATGTGTGTGTGTGTCGTGTTCTCTAGCCAGCAGAAAGCTGCAGTGACCGCCTCCCATGGACTCCTGAGCTTTTGGGTTGACAGCAAGTAGTTTAACCAGAGGTTATAGCTGAACTGACAAGGGATTTTCAAAGTTGGTGGCCAACTACAAAGCTGAAAAGCTTCTGTCACTTTTTTGTAGGCTCCCAAATCATGAAGGATGGTTAATGATGTCCGTTGGAAGTGGGCTAAATATTGTCCATTGAAAGTTCCGCTCTCGTAATTCACCAGATAGGTTTAAATGTCAGCCAGTATTTTCCCGTTATCTGACAACGTATCATGGCTGTGAAAGAAAACCTAGTCTTGCCATTGACATATACTACAGACCCACACTACAGAATTGCACATCAGATGAAAACATTTTATCAATCCCTTTTTTTTTTCCTGAAATACACAACATACATAGTCACTGATACTCTGATAGATTGTGTGTTATGATGGTAGTTTCAAGGCAAGCATCAAATTTTTCTTTGCACAGCTTTGTCAAACTTAAGCACATGTCCATTGTTTTGTTAGTTTGAAAGTACTAAAAGGATTTTAAAATGTGGCTGCTTATGAGGACCTACGTAAATTGCGAATTGTACCTACAAGATGATGATGATTCTTCTTCATCTCTGTTCACCTTAAAATAGGTGGTTGGCATGTTGTGTTGCTTTTACCGTATGTTAGGTTAGGTAGCTGGTACAAGATGAGATACAGTGTATTGAAACAGACAAAAAAAGAAAAATCAAAACAACAAAAAGGAAATGCCTTTGATGAATCCTAAATGTTATAAGAAGAGACAAAATCAGACATGAATATATCAGGAAACAAGCTGGGGTGGAACCCTAAAAGACAACAGATCAATTGGTTCAGTCTTGTATCAAGACTACCACAAGATGGTGCACAGAACCCTGTCACTAAGAGGTCGCCCACGATGGAATATCTGAGACAGAGAGTTTTAGAATGTATTCTTTCTCATAGCATATCCAATCAATATTGACTGTTTGTGTCTTATTTGTCTAATCAGTTTCAGGTTTTTCGTCATCATCATCATCCCGAAACACTACCTGTCATTGGGTCACCAGTATCTGTTGACTGTCTGATCAGCTCTCTCCACCTTTCATGGTCAGTTGTAATGGACTTCATGGTTGTATGCCTGAGGCCTGTCCAATTAGTCAGGTTCTGTAACCAGGTCTTTCTTGGTCTGCCACTTTCCCTCTACAGAGCCCTACAGTATTGTTTTTGAGAGGCCGTTTTTTACAAAACAAAAACAGTTTATTAGAAGAAGAAAAAAGTTGGAAAATGTGCCTAGGAGGACAATGTGTCATTGTTATCTCAGAAATATTGTTTACAGGTTAAAGTAGATAACTTAGACAAGAGAAATTAAAGAAATGAGCATTATTCTGTTTCAAAAAGAACAGCATGTTGTTTCACATTAGTCTTATTTATGCAGGTTGAAGGCTCTCTTGTGGAAGAAATAGAAACAGTGCACAGAGCAGGTGGCTTGGGAGGAGCAAACAGGATTAGTCAGATCAGTGACACATATGCTGAAATAGGTCAGTTACTCTGCTCAGCCTTATTGTCTCATAATAATGTTTATAGGCTGTTGTGTTTTTGATGGACTCAGCAAGTAGGGTCTACACTGTGAAGCCGGTGAAGCTCTGTGAAGCCGGTGAAGCTCTGTGAAGCCGGTGAAGCTCTGTGAAGCTCTGTGAAGCCGGTGAAGCTCTGTGAAGCTCTGTGAAGCCGGTGAAGCTCTGTGAAGCTCTGTGAAGCCGGTGAAGCTCTGTGAAGACGGTGAAGCTCTGAGAAGGAGCTACTTTAAGTGAGGAAATAGACCAAGTCTAGCAGAAAATGAAGTAAGGAAACTGCTGGTGTTGAAGAAGAGACACATTGAGAAAGTCAATAATTTAATCTTACAGTCTTACTTATGGAAAATTGCCAGAGTGAACATTATACATGGAAAAGAGAGTAAATACTGTTGTTAGCTCTGACATTGGATTCAATGATATATGTTGTCTTGGATAGTGGAGAAATAATATTCAGACACACCTACAAATACATAGAGTCACCAACTGAAAAGAGAGGACCAGTCACAGAGATGAATGAAGGCAGGCGGCATCTGCGGCAATGAACCTCAAGGCCTTAAAATGCTAAAAAAGTAGTTTTTTTGTTTTGTTTCATGTTTTTTTTTTTTTTTTTTACATTTTATTTTTTTTTTCCCCTAGGAATATCTGGAGGAAGTGTAAAATACAACAGCATCAATAGACATCTAGCAGATGACAAGAAAATTGTTCTTAGCACCACAACAGCGTCACTTTTGCACCCAGTCAACCAAGTCAATGGACAACATATTTACAGCAATAGCAGTCAGTCAAGACAGAACTATATTGCCTCAGCTGGTGTGAGTGGCAGCAGTTCAAATCATCATGAGAACATTCCAGAATATAAAAATTCAGGTGATACTTATGTGACACTCAATGAGGAATCTAGTTCTTTGTCTGCTGCTGAATCACAAGGAATTCTTCATCTGTCAAACAGTTCGACCATCCAGGGTCAAGGTTCAGGCAGCAGAACTGTACAAGAGGTCAAGGGTTATGATGATTATGAGGACGTGGGTGAAACAAAAGGAAATGGAGCTCACAGTAAGCCTAAAGTTGTAGGCAATAAGGCTGATACAGGTGTTGAGCATAAAAAGGTTGGACAGAGAAGGGCAATGCTTGATCACAAATAACAAGGGATCTCGTTATCAAGCCTCGTCTTCCATCATGCAGAAATGATTTTGTTAACCTTCTTAACAAGAGGGTTATTTCTGACTTATAAATTAGTGCATATGTGTTTGTGACAAGCCAAACTGATGAATATTATAATCTTGTGTGTGTGTGACAAGTGAACACTATCTCTTTTTATGGGTATCATAGATTATACAAGTAAATACAATATTGTGCATGCGCATAATGAGATGAAGTAAGCACAAACATACATGGGAATAGCAATGAATGAAATCAAAAGTGATTACACTAAACACAGTAAACTACACACAGGATCATATATTTATGTGCTTGCCACCAGTGGTTTGTTTGTTCAGTCAAGTTTATTTTTTATAGCATTTTTGGTTGGTTGACTGTTGGTTGCTGTACAAAGGCTAAATTATCGTTTTCTTACTTGAAATCTTATCACAAGTTTAAATAAATTCATTATTTATTGGAAAACAGCTCACTGCAGCATTCTGGGAAACAAGCAAACACTTTGACATGTAAATCTAAATGGATCTCTTTAGCGAAAGAGTTTAAAGTCAAGCATTGGTGTGACAAAAACTTAGCTTAAATCTGCTTTCCCCAGCAACATTGATGAAAGACCAATGTGATTACATAAAACATTATGCTCACAGTTAACTTTGAAGATAGTATCCAGTCATCACATGTGAGTTGTGAACTGTACACAATAGACTTAAATCAAATCTATGTGAACTGTCACTTCCAAATGACAACACGTTCTGCTCTAAAATATCATTGTCCTTGAATGGACAGCTAGTTGGGCACCAGCTTAGGGTCCCTTGTGTCTGTGTTTGTTTGTTTTGGTCTGTACTCACTCTTAACCAACTTTGAACCGGATGTACATTGGAGACAAGGGCTAGATTCTCTATGTCATTGCACCCTAGAACCTTGTCACTTGGTTTTGATTGTCATACACTCTTAAACACTCCAGTCTGGCACTTTTTGAATTAGAGACATATGCCATACCATTTAAAACATCATCTAAACAGCCACTCCAGAATGGCTTTCTTACATTTAGAGATATATGTTGTGTCCTCTAAGTCACTCAGTCCTGGTATTTTTCAGATTAGTAATGGATGCTGTAGCTTCAGAGCCTTCCCTCGGACTATCAGATTAGTAATGGATGCTGTACCTTCAGAGCCTTCCCTCGGACTAACTGATTAGTAATGGATGCTGTACCTTCAGAGCTTTCCCTCGGACTAACAGATTAGTAATGGATGCTGTACCTTCAGAGCCTTCCCTCGGACTAACAGATTAGTAATGGATGCTGTACCTTCAGAGCCTTCCCTCGGACTAACTGATTAGTAATGGATGCTGTACCTTCAGAGCTTTCCCTCGGACTAACAGATTAGTAATGGATGCTGTACCTTCAGAGCCTTCCCTCGGACTAACAGATTAGTAATGGATGCTGTACCTTCAGAGCCTTCCCTCGAACTAACTGATTAGTAATGGATGCTGTACCTTCAGAGCCTTCCCTTGGACTAACTGATTAGTAATGGATGCTGTACCTTCAGAGCTTTCCCTCGGACTAACAGATTAGTAATGGATGCTGTACCTTCAGAGCCTTCCCTCGGACTAACAGATTAGTAATGGATGCTGTACCTTCAGAGCCTTCCCTCGGACTAACTGATTAGTAATGGATGCTGTACCTTCAGAGCCTTCCCTCGGACTAACAGATTAGTAATGGATGCTGTACCTTCAGAGCCTTCCCTCGGACTATCAGATTAGTAATGGATGCTGTACCTTCAGAGCCTTCCCTCGGACTATCAGATTAGTAATGGATGCTGTACCTTCAGAGCCTTACCTTGGACTAACAAGCTGGAGACTGTAGACAGGGAATCATTGAATACCTGTAGACAAAACACCACCATGGTTCATTTTAAAGATCATCTCCCACATGGTTTTCCTGTCTCACAGCTCCAGTTGGTACACCCAAGGTATGTGGTCTATTTAGGGAAAATTATTTTCCCTGAAACTGACAGCCTCACACTTTTAGTCTCTTGTATGGCATTGAGATTTTCTCTCCTGTCCATAGTGGCTCATTCCTGATAGTCGCACTGCCAGCCAGGGCATCTGCTCACTCATTGTCTTTCACGCCAGCAGGCTCTGGGACATAAATAAAGGGGATTTTGTGAAACGTTGCACGCCGTATCTATCAGATGGAGCCACTGTTTCCGTATATACCCTGCCTTTATTTTCTGTAGCATGCTCGCTGAGGAAGCATGCATTGGTGAACTCCTGGGTTCCCATCCTGGTATGAGTTCTCAGTTGTGAAGTTCTATTTGTTTTTGTTTTTTATTAAACCCAATCATTTCTAGTTTCTGAAATACACATTCATTGCTGGGGACCATTAGAGACATTGAAACTGAATGATAATCACATGCAGTAATCTACAAATTGTCACTCATAGAAAGAAAAGAAAGTAGAGATTTGAGGACACACTAGACAACATCGTGTATGAGACTGTATGTATGATAAACACATGCAGTAACCTACACTTTGTTCACTCATATAAAGAGAAGAAAGTAGTGATATGAGGACATGCTAGACAACATCAATGTAGGCGACTGTATGTATGATAAACACATACAGTAACCTACACATTGTCACTCATATAAAGAGAAGAAAGCAGATATATGAGGACACGCTAGACAACATCGTGTATGAGACTATGTGTATGATAAACACATTAGGTAATCTACTGATTGCCACTTATAGAAGGAGAAGAAGTAAGCATAGATAAGAGGACAAACTAGATAAAATAGTGTATAAAAGAAACTGTGTGATAAACACACAGGTAATCTACTGATTGCCACTTATGCTACCAGTTTGGAAGACAGATTTCTTCACCAACCTCACTCTGATTGGTGTCAGCCATTTTAAGGGCTCAGGGGACCTGAATGACAAAGCATCAAACTTTAGAATTACAGCTCATTATTTAATTGTATATTTTATTTATTATTAGTCAATAATGTTATTATTGCTTCTAGTCTTTTAGATTGTTATTTTAACTGTGTGGGTTCTGTGGCCCCTTTCAGGTTTAAGAGGGTTCTGTGGCCCCTTTCAGGTTTAAGAGGGTTCTGTGGCCCCTTTAAGGTTTGAGAGGGTTCTGTGGCCCCTTTCAGGGTGAAGAGAGTTCTAGGGCCCCTTTCAGGGTGAAGAGAGTTCTAGGGCCACTTTCAGGGTGAAGAGGGTTCTAGGGCCACTTTCAGGGTGAAGAGGGTTCTAGGGCCCCTTTCAGGGTGAAGAGGGTTCTAGGGCCCCTTTCAGGGTGAAGAGGGTTCTGTGGCCCCTTTCAGGGTGAAGAGGGTTCTAGGGCCCCTTTCAGGGTGAAGAGGGTTCTAGGGCCACTTTCAGGGTGAAGAGGGTTCTTTGGCCACTTTCAGGGTGAAGAGAGTTCTAGGGCCACTTTCAGGGTGAAGTGGGTTCTTTGGCCACTTTCAGGGTGAAGAGAGTTCTAGGGCCACTTTCAGGGTGAAGTGGGTTCTAGGGCCACTTTCAGGGTGAAGAGGGTTCTTTGGCCACTTTCAGGGTGAAGAGGGTTCTAGGGCCACTTTCAGGGTGAAGAGGGTTCTTTGGCCACTTTCAGGGTGAAGAGGGTTCTAGGGCCACTTTCAGGGTGAAGAGAGTTCTAGGACCACTTTCAGGGTGAAGAGAGTTCTAGGGCCACTTTCAGGGTGAAGAGGGTTCTAGGGCCACTTTCAGGGTGAAGAGGGTTCTTTGGCCACTTTCAGGGTGAAGAGGGTTCTAGGGCCACTTTCAGGGTGAAGAGAGTTCTAGGGCCACTTTCAGGGTGAAGAGGGTTCTAGGGCCACTTTCAGGGTGAAGAGGGTTCTAGGGCCACTTTCAGGGTGAAGAGGGTTCTAGGGCCACTTTCAGGGTGAAGAGGGTTCTAGGGCCACTTTCAGGGTGAAGAGGGTTCTAGGGCCACTTTCAGGGTGAAGAGGGTTCTAGGGCCACTTTCAGGGTGAAGAGAGTTCTAGGGCCACTTTCAGGGTGAAGAGGGTTCTAGGGCCACTTTCAGGGTGAAGAGGGTTCTGTGGCCTCTTTCAGGGTGAAGAGGGTTCTGTGGCCTCTTTCAGGGTGAAGAGGGTTCTGTGGCCTCTTTCAGGGTGAAGAGGGTTCTGTGGCCTCTTTCAGGGTGAAGAGGGTTCTGTGGCCTCTTTCAGGGTGAAGAGGGTTCTGTGGCCTCTTTCAGGGTGAAGAGGGTTCTGTGGCCTCTTTCAGGGTGAAGAGGGTTCTGTGGCCTCTTTCAGGGTGAAGAGGGTTCTGTGGCCTATTTCAGGGTGAAGAGGGTTCTGAGGCCCCTTTCAGGGTGAAGAGGGTTCTTTGGCCCCTTTCAGGGTGAAGAATAGACCCACTGCCCCCATAACAAGCAAGTCATAGGAGTCGACTAATTACAGGTGTTAAACAAGTCAGATTTGTAAAACAAATGTGCATCCAGACCCAAAGTTCTGCAACTACACTCAAATCCAGAAATAGATAAATAATCCGAACTATCGTCTGGAGTGTGCAGCCTTAAACACCAAGAAGAAAAAAACAGATTTTGTTTTTGTGTGTCTGTGGTTTTTCCATTTATGTGAAGCATGTAAATCTATATATTTGTCCTCAGTAGTTTTGTTTATTGTCAAGATTTCTGTTTCACTTTTTTTGTAAATCAGCTGCCTGAAACAGTTGTTGATTTCATTATATTGTGTCCTCTTTCTATTCAGTTGTGGTCATATAATTGCAAATGATTATTAGATGGAATATTAGAGGGAAGGGAGTTTCATAAGAAAAGAAAATCTGTATGCTTTGTTTGACATATTTATTTGAGTGTCCTTTAAATGTTTGTTTGTTTTAGTATCCAGAAGCCATGAGTTGTTAACCCTTAGGCTCGGTATTATGGATATCGCAACCTTTCGGCCTTGATTCCATTGTAAATACCGTCAATCTGGGAGAAATATGGCTTTTCTGC